TGTTGCTTGATATCAAGGGCTAGAGAATCTTCAATGGTTGCGGCCCGTACCTGGTCGAGGAAGTCAGCATCAATTGGTACAATAGCTGCGTTGAGTCGAAATTTCTCTGGCTTCAACAATGTCGTGCATTGTTGATCAAATGCTGCATCTCCAGCCTTTGGCACGAGATATGATCTCTTTGATAATGCATCGGACAACCCTTGTTGCTTCCCAGGCCGATAAGTAATAACAAAGTCGAACCTGGATAGCGACATACTCCACCGAGCTTGACGCCGATTCAAAACTCGAGCCGACATAAAATACTCCAAATTCTTGTGATCCGTATATACGGTCACTGGATGTGCAGTTCCTTCGAGAAAGTGGCGCCACTCTTGGAAAGAATCTATTATAGCAAGGAGTTCCTTATCGTGGATCTCATAGTTGATCTCAGCAGCAGAGAATTTTCGAGAATAGAACGCAACTGGATGGAGCTTCTCATCTACGCCCATCTGTGAAAGTACAGCTCCCAAAGCAAAATCCGAAGCATCTGTCTCCAAATAAAAGGCCTTTGTAAAGTCCGGATGTACCAAGATTGGAGCTGTAGTAAATACCATCTTCAAATCTTGGAATGCTTTTTCTGCGATAGGTCCCCATTCGAGCTTGTCCTTGCACGTTAACCGAGTGAGGGGGGCAGCAACTTGAGAATAATTCTTGATGAAGATCCGATAGTAGTTAGCAAATCCAAGAAAACATTGTACGTCCCTAACCGTCTTCGGAACTTCCCAAGACATGATTGCTTCCACCTTCTTTGGATCCATCTTCAATCCTTCCGTAGTCGCGATGAATCCCAAAAACTCCATCTCAGTTTGGTGAAATAAGCACTTCTCCAATTTGGCATAGAGTCCTCGCTCCCGTAGTTTTTTGAGTACCAGACGAACGTGCTTCTCATGTTCTTCCTCATTCTTAGAAAATATCAAAATATCATCTAGATAGATGACAACAAAATCGTCTAGATGCTCTCGAAAGATGTCATTCATCATGTGTTGAAAGACCGCTAGAGCATTAGTAAGACCAAATGACATGACATTGTATTCAAAATGGCCATACCTTGTTCGAAAAGCTGTCTTCCATTCATCTCCTTCCTTGATTCGCACAAGGTTGTAAGCTCTCCTTAGGTCAATCTTTGTAAAGATCCTTGCACGCCCAAGTTGTTCTAGAAGACCAGAGATCAAAGGCAGTGGATAGCGATTCTTTTTTGTCACCTTGTTGAGACCTCGATAGTCCACGCACATCCGTAGTGAGCCATCTTTCTTCTTCACAAATAAGATTGGTGCCCCAGCTGGCGACTTCTAATGACGGATGAAGTTCTTGGCTAGATTCTCGTCAATGTACTTCCGCAACTCAGTCAACTCTGTCTGCGACAAATTGTAGATTGGTCCAAAAGGTGGTTGTGCTCCTTCTTGCAATTCAATGGCACAGTCATAGGGTCGATGCTCTGGCAGCATATCAGCATTCTTCTTTTCAAAGACATCTTTGAATTCTTCATACTGCTTTGGAATAACCAAAGTCGGAGTTGCATCTTCTCGAGTCGGAGTTGCGAAGATGACAAGAGGTGTATTTTGCTTGGCTTCCTTCATGAAAGCCCTTGCACCTATAAACAAGGATTTGTTTCTAGACATTGTCTTGGCAGATTCCACCTTCAAGGAGTTTGTTGGAAATGTCACTTTCCGCAACTTCCAATCTATCAATGGATTATATCTATCAAGCCAAGATAGTCCCAAAATGATAGGACATGAAGGGGTCTTGATAACATTAAACACAATATTGCTCTCATGGTTTTCAAGACGTACCTTCAATGGTTTAGTTTCATGGATAACATTGCTCGAAGACAATGGTCGTCCATCTATGACTTCTACATGGACAGGCTTAAGTTTCTTTACAAGAGAAATATTGTGAAGCTTGGCAAACTCTTCATCTATAAAGCAAGCGGATGCACCCGAGTCTAATAAAGCATCGACTTGTAGTTTTTGAATACCCAGATGTAAAGGTACCATAAAACAATCTGAAGGTTGAGCTGAGAGAAAGGGACCTTGATTAATTTTGGATGTTGAGATGTCCAGCCGCACGGTCCCTATTGTGGCTGGGCGTCCTTTTTTTCCTGCATGCTTGTACTCCTGAGTCTTGTTGTTTGAGGCTTCTGTTTCTTCCGACAATCTACAGCTTTATGGCCCGCTTCTCCACAATATAAACACAAGTTTTGTTCAAACCGTCGCTTCCTTTCCTCAGCTGTGAGGGATTTGAAACGTACCGCATCAATTTGCATGGGTTCAGGATCTGTGGAGTGATTCTCTGGACCTTTTGAAAATGTAGCAAATGCTCCATCATTTCTCCAGCCTGATCATCTTTCTTGTCGTAATTCAAAGAGGCGGTTGTCACAAATAATTGCTTGAGATATAAGTTCTTCTAAAGTATCCGCCTTAGGCATGGTGATCAATAAGTTCTTGACATCATCTCTCAGTCCATATCGAAATCGTGTCATGAACGCCTTATCATTCCAATCAAGATCACATGTAAGCTGTTGAAATTCTGCAGCATAGATTGAAGCAGAACGTGATCCTTGTCGCAGATTTTGTATCTTTCTTTCAGCCACTCTTTCTCGATCGCTATCTCCAAATGCAGCAGTAAGTCTCTCTATGAAAGCCTCTAGGTCGTACAATATTGGAGAATCCTTCTCCAATAGTGGAGCAAACCAAGAGCAAGCATTTCCTGATAGAAGAGTACCTATGAAAGCAACCTGGGTAAATCCATTCGGATAACGAGAAGGGTATAGGAGTAGGTAAAGCGGTACTTGTTGCACAAAACCTCGAAAGTTGGCTCTTGTTTCGTCAAACTTATCTGGCATACTCGCTTTTGGTTCTTTCGTACTAATCCTTGAAGTATCTATAGGGGTCGTATGTGACACATGTCTTGCTTCTCTCAGTCGAATAATCTCTTGTTGTAGGCTATGAATTTCGCGTCTAGCTTCTTCGGTCACTAGATCAATTTGAGGTTCTTTACTTGGATTGCGAAGAAATGCAATCTCCTTTCGTACACTATTCATAAGAGCTTGAAGATCTCCAAGAGTTGCCACTCTATTGTCTACTTGTAGAGATGCACTGTCTATGACCTGGTCTACTTCCATATTTAGAGAATAGATGGATTAAAATTTTGAGAGAAGAAGAAATTACTAAGTCTCTTCGAGAAAATTGTAGCACTACCTGTCACTAAAACCTACTCGGAGAAAAGGAAAAAAAAACACTAAACGATTTCAGTTTTAGAGGAGGGTAATCCGCAACCTCTAAAAATGCCTCAATGCTTTCGAGAAGAGGGGTAATCCACACTCTATCAAGAAGGCAAAGCTCTGAAATCGATGTTAACAGTCTTTTCTACTAGCTATGCTAAACAAAAAGAAGGAATTAATATCAGTCCAAGAGATAGTAATCCGCAACCCTTAGAACACTCAAGTATCTCCAAGGAAAGGGGTAGTCCACTCTCTGCCTCAAAGAACTAAGCTTTGATATTGTGATTGAGAAAATATCAGTTTAGAGGAAGGTAATCCGCAACCCCTAAAGCGCTAGAATACCTTCAAGAAGAGGGGTAATCCGCTCTCAAACAAGAAGGATTCAGCTCTGATATTAAGATAAAGGTAGTCTCGACAAACTGTCACTGACACAAAATACAGACTTGAAATCTAACAAGAAGTTCAAGAAGAAGTGGCAGAACTAGATTAAACAGATGAGTACAAGAACAACACCAGAAAGGTGAGCTAGAACTCCAAGAGATGTGTTGTCGAGACTGAAGAACTCTTCAGCCTCGACTCCTATATATACTACTGGCCTATGGTTCTAAGGAAGCGCATCAAGAAGCTTCCCAAGAACTATGAAGCTTCTCGAGCAACTACCCAAGAGCTAGGAAGCTTCTCAAATAACTTCCTAGAATCTACTAGAATATTCTAAGAATCTTCTAAAGCCTTCTAAGGGAATCTTTAGGGAATCTTTACATAATCTTTAGGAAATCTTTGAAGAATATTCTAAGAGAATATTCAAGGAATCTTCTGGAAGTTTCTAGAGACTTCTTTCTAGAAGGTTCTAGAAACTTGTCTCTAGAAAGGACTAAGGACTATGTCCCTAACATGCTGGTAGTAAATTCAGTTGATGCATTATAAGCATTAACTCCCTCAATTGCTCTTACATTTGTGCCATTGCACTCTTCATTTTAGCAAGTTCTACCATGACAACACTAAAAAAGAAAAGATGTCTAATATTCCTCAAGACAAAGAGAAGAGAAGACTTAAGAACAAAGAAAATACTAAAGACAATATCAGTTTAGAAGAGGGTAATCCGCAACTTCTAATATGCTTAAGTCTTATCAAGAAAAATGGGTAATCCAATCTTAATCAAGATTAGACAAAGCTTTGATATTGTAAGTGTACTCTTGTCAATCTGTCAAAGAAAAGAGCTTGATAAGAACAAATAAACAAGTGAAACTTTTTCAAAGAAAGATGACAAAATAGAAATAACTAAATATGTATATTAAGAAAGAAATTGGAATGGCTATTGCCAAAAGATAAGAAAATTAGAGACCCTTGAAACTAGACTAGAAGCAAGAAAGGAATTGACAAGAGTGAAGAGGGCTTCACTCTTGTCTCTATATATACTATTTAACTAGTGGCTTCATGGCGATGTTCTATAAGACCTCCAATATGTCTTGACTTTGTAGGACACATGCCTTGATTTACAAGGCAAGTTTTTCTATATGTGGGCCACATAGTTAGCTTGGTCTTCAAGCTAACAACATATGTGGCACATGGCCAACTTGTTGACCACATTTCTAATCCAAAAAGTCAATTAAAGACACCTATAAAGTCAAAGCAATGTCTATAAAGCTTTTAGGAAGCTTCCATGTAAGATATTATAGAATTAACTTACTTTTACCTACTTTTACTTATTTCTATCTATTTATACATGTAATTACTGGCTTATATGCGTATGTTCGTGACAGTAAGTTTCTAAGAGAAAAAAATTAAAAATTAAAAATTAAAAATTCACTAGTAGTTTTTAAGAATCTTTTGTAGTCTTATAGAAGCTTTAATAAGCTTTTATAGCCATATAAAACTTTCTATAGTTTTTTAAAAGTTCTCATAAATGATTTTTTAAACTTTTAGAATTCTATGGAATTATATGCTTAAAATAAATACCTTAAAAAATATCTTTCATTTTGTATTCTTATAATTTTAAAAAAAAAAAAAAAAAAAAAAAAAAAAAAATCTCAAAAGATATTTGCAAAAAGATAAGCTTTGCAGTAATTTCAAATTAAAAGTCTTTAATATATATTTATATTTAATAATACATTAATTTAGATTAATAAAAAAATCAATTTATATCTTTTACATATGTTTTAGAATTTAAAGATTTTAATAATAGTCTCTTTAGTATATAAGTACTTAAAAATAATATCAAATAAAAACATAACATCAATATATATCACTTGTTTGTTATGCTTTATCTTAATACAATCAAAATATGGACCATTCTATTGATATATTTTTATTGAGGCTTTATTTAGTAATTTTAAAATAAAATATTTCTAATTATTAATGCATATATATATATATATATATATTAATAGGCTAAAAGAATTAAAATTGGTTCTACAGCAAGTTTTGAAAATAATTTTTAGTTTATTTAAGCTATGTAAATATTTATGTTAAAATTAAATATTCTTTTTTAATTAAAGTTTTTTAGTTGGATTCAATATTCTTAATCAAAGGATATAATTTTAGTTCATTATGCAATAGATAAGATAAAAAAATAATACATTCATTTTCAATGAAAATAATTCAAAAATTCCTTAAAATTAACAAATTTAGTAAAGCAAGACAATCTCAACATGAGAAAAATAATATGCATTAATATAGTAGGATTTAATTGGTCAAAATAATTATTTTCCAGCTGAAAACTCCAGTACATACACAAACTTTAATCATTAAGCCACAGCTTAAACTCTCATAATTTTCTATAGCATGTTCTTACATTGTTTTACATTGAAAAAGCCAACAACAATCGATCATCTACAAGTTGCTAAAAACAATAGAATCTTGTACACCCAAAAGCTTTCCCAAGAGCACCATTCATTTAAAGTTGTTTGTGAGTGATGAGATTGTTTCTGTTGACGATCGGTGGTTGCAGCAGCTTTCTCTTCATTCTTCGGTTCACGAGGAGTGTTTAGTGGAGCTGTTTTCTGGTGCTCCGTGTGATGATGATATTTTTTTTGCCGCGGCCTCATCTTCTTGCTCCTTTTCTCGCCCTATTTGTAACTCTGATACCCATGTTGTCACCTCCTATTCCTCTGTTTTCGAGCGGGGGATTGGGTCCAGCTCTGACTCGAAACAAGAAGATTCTGATCGAGCCCGCAGGTGCTTTTTCTCACCCTCTCTCGTTTGAAATTGTAGTTACTTCGTTGTTTTCTTTCCTTTCTTTTCTTTTTCGCCAGTGTCTGTTCCATTCCTACCATTGCTAATCAGGGTGTGAATTTGGGTAATGCATGTCGTCCTTTTTGCAACTGTGGTGGTGGGGCATGGAATGTCTCCCAATTTTAGAGACATTTCTGTTTTGTCCAGACTGGAAAGGAGCAGAGAAGCCGCATCTCAAGCACGAGCTCGGAAGAAATCTTCCATCAAGAGTCTAGAAGTGAAGTACCGAATGTTGGAGGCGCATATCGCTCAACTTCAACAGCTCATGACCTTGACTTCAGTAGAGAATGCGGCGCTCAAGAATGAGCTTGCTCGTGTGAAGGAACCAAAGGGCGGTGTCGAGAATGGTGTCGTAGAGCCTGCAGAGCTCAAAGCAGAAAGTATTGTCTCCATGTCCACCTCTATTTGTTCTCCACCTGCGCTCTCGCCATCTGTTCACGTAGAATTTCCACCCACATCAGTGCTAGATCTTCTCCCACATTTACTCACATCCCATCGGTGTTCTGTTCCAGACTCCCTGCAGTCGGAGTTCCTGCGCCACCATTCTTGCCACAGCTCTTTGGCCCAGCAGGCCCTTCCTCATAATACTAGCCACTTCCGAGACTTCCTCCTCACTCTGCTGCGACTGCTAACGCTTGGAACAGTAATCAATTCAAGCAGACCTCAAACAAGTCCACTCCAGCCTCCTTATGAGACAATCTTTTCCACTTTTTAGAACAACAGAGTTTCCTCACGCGCTTGAAGATGGAATGGCAAGAGGGAGAAACTGAAGGAGGAAGAAGGAACTTCAATTCCAGATGGCGTGCTTTGCTCTTTGCAACGGCTGCCATTAAGGAAGAAGAAAGCACCGAAGGATCAAGCGCCTCTTCACCTCCAGGAACATTTAGCAACCTTCCATGTTTTCGCCTGTGATTGTGTTTTGTTTGTGCCGACTCCACCACGATGCATCAAGCCATACATAATAGCGCACAGTTCTACTGTTTGGAATTGTTGTCAACACTTGAATTTCATCTCGGTTGTGGGATTACAACTTCTTCCTACAAGTGCTGGAAGCCTTTTTGTGTCTTTTTATCTGAAATTATGAACAGAAAGGGAGTGTTTTTTGCTTTTTTTGATGTAAGTGTTGGCTAGCAATTGGGTATGTTGACATTTTTGTACATGTTTTTTTAGGAATGTATTGGTGTGACTATTGACATTTGAGTTTATGAAAAAGTGGTTTTTTATTTAAAGTATAACATATTTACTATGTTTATATTTATATGAAGATTACATTTGTAACTTATAGTTGTTTGTTTTGATGATTATTATTTGTTGTAATGCTCACTCAATACAACATGCAAGTGACATTTATTAACATGTAGTAGTTACTATTTTACTTGTGGATAGAATAGAACATGTTAGTCAAAACATAAAATAATATTCGAAGTATACAAAGTATAAAGGTTAATCAATACAAGCCATTGCACATACTTCAAAATTGTGTGTAAACAATTGTTAATTTTTTTATTGTTTAGAACAAAAATAACTTGTTGGATATTAGATCAGTTATTTACATTTCCTTTCAAGGCCATGTGTAAAGTATTTAAAGAAAGATGTTATATATATATATATATATATATATATATGCGCATACTTGCATATCCTGTTCAACACAGTTCAAATATTTTGCAAACTACTACTAAAAGCTCCATACAAACACCAAATAGTTTTCTTTTGATTTGAAACCATCTCATGCAAGCACAAGTATTAAGTCAATAAGTTGGTAGTTGACAAAGGAAAAACAAAAAAGTAGAGCTATGAATTATTAAGGAGAGTTCCTGATGTCCCTCATTCCTCTTTCTTTGTTTGTTCCTCATGTAGCAGCTACCATTTTTTCACATAAATGATGCATCACACAAAAATCACGTTTTCTGAAAAGATAAAAATTAAATTAACTTCAAACGAATCATGTCTCTTTAAATCATAGTGTTGAACAATGCTAACTCGGATCCTCCTTCCCAACACATGTACACATACTTAATACACTCCACAAAAAAAATCATATTGGTTAAGAATTTTAGAATAATGACGTGCAATACATATTTCGAAGCTTACGAATTGTCTCACTTGGAAAGTATCCATAAAACATGACAGAAACATCAAATGAGAATAGATCGATGATGTAAGAGATAATTTTAAATTAAAGAAGCAAATAAAATTACCATATTTGTAGTGAAGTAACCGTTGTCTCCACAAAAGATGGAAAGTAGGTCAACATGACTGAAAAGGCTCCCATAAATGTTTCCCACGTTTGGCAGGCCCACAGCATAGTTTCAGATGCCAATGCACGCAAGCCGTAGAGATACTGTAGCTCAAATTTTTCACCCTACTTGGGACAGTCAGAACATTGAAAAGCGCCGGTTTGACATGCTCACATACCTACACGCTGGAGCCATCCACAGCAAGACCTTGTTATCGTTCAAAATATGACACAAACAGTAGCCATTACCCTCTAAGCAACGACAACATCCACACTTCCCCCATCAAGCACAGACTAGGCTTCAACGTATGCATAGCTGTGAATGAACTCATTTTCGGCTAGAGTGGCGATAAAGAATAATCATTCCAATTACCCTAGAACAGATTGAAGAGCTGCAGGGACACTACATACACAGGTCCAGCTACTTGGCACAAATATTCCACCACACAAGATCACGTTACGGCACAGTCCAGGCAATGCGCAAAACTCTGTATTTCATTCAAAAAGAAATCACACCACTTAACAGGCCAAATGTCTCTCAAAACACACCGACCCTTGCATTGGTGTACGCCTGTGACTGTCTCCCTTCACCCAGTCACAATCACACAATTCTTAGAAACTTGCGTCGCTGCTTCCCATGTCACACTTCCGCATTCACGCTATCCGTATCCATGACCAGGGACAACGCTACGCCAACCGCGCACCACGCACCCCACCTGCCACGGCAAGATCATAGAACTATCCACGTACCAGCCAAAAACCTCATACGCCCCATACGTTCCTCCCTGAAATAATCCTCAGGTTCCGCACACGGCAAAACGAGCCTAGACCTTGAATCCTCTGCTATTACGACGACCACGAGCTTTCTCAAATTTCCGTCCCTTCGATCGGACGTACGGCTTCGCGTGACTTTGTGGCACGCCGGGAGCGCCGAAGTGCTTCACTGCCTCGCGGGCGTTCTTCGGACCCCGCAAAAGCACCTACACGCACACACCATTTCGACATCATCCACCTGTGTGCCACACACACTGCCCTAAACCCTAAACAATTCGCGCTTCTCTCAACTTCCTGGCATCCGCACACCATCTTTCGTCCCATCGTCCCAGCGTAACCTTCCCTAACACTCAAACACCACTCCACACCTCGCTTCCCAGCTTATCCCTACGAAAAATGACTCCTCAAAAATCCAATCACAGCAAAAAAACACAGCTTACAGTGTTCGCTCCAGTTGGTGCGCGCAGCGCCAGCTGATCGAACGTCAGGCATTCTCCTCCAGCCTTCAAGATACGCGCGCGAGCAGTCTCCGTGAACCGAAGAGCAGCAACCTTCAGCGCAGGGACCTCGAACTGCCTCACATCGTCAGTGATCGTCCCAACCAACACTGCAATTTTGTCATCCTGCACCATTGCACCCGCACAGGCAAATCTGGTCAATGCCTGTCGCTCCCAGACCACATTCACCCACACGTCGCATTTGCACGCTCAACCTTTTCATTGTGTTCAAATACCTCATACTACACCGTCTTTCCATGCCTAGTCCAGACACACTCTAATACCGTCCAGAATAGATTTATAAATAAAATAAAATAAAATAAACATCCCACTACAACGCAGGAGTCTTGAAGAAATTCACCTTTCCAGCCATGTACTTCACCAGCCGGCTCATGGAAAGGGGAGCCCTGTTCGTTCGACTCATAAACAGACGCTTCAAGATCACGGAGTTGAAGGGAGCATCCGTCCTTCGAACCAAAAACCTGTACAGCTGCCACCCATTTCCACTTTCCAGTTCGTCAAACCCTAATTCGAAAGAGAAAAAAAAAGGAAATTCCACAAAAAATTCACATCCTCACTCGCTCCTAACACTCCATGCTCACCCGCTATTGCATTGCATTGCACGCCAGCATAATCTCTGAATCATGTAACTGGAAGACACTGTTGAAATATGACTACAACCTCATCCCACTCTCATGAACAAGAACATCAACGGATGCTCTCATATCCAAGACTGCAATGCTGTAGCTTCATACCACTCCAATATGCGCAACACAACCCGTGTCACATACAAAGCACCACCAGCAGTTTCCATCCCAGCGAGTGTCCAGTGAACTCTTTCTTCCTTTCTTTTTACCAGATGACAAGAAACTAAAACATAGACACGCGAGAATGCAGGAGCATATCAAATCACCTTCACGAGAAGCTTAAGGTATACGTTACCGCTCTTGGGAGCTGTACGTTTGGTCTTCTTGTTGCGACCACCGGCCTTCAAATCGATACCCTGATCGCCCACCACACACCTCAACAGTGAATACAAACGCCACAGGAAAGTCCAACAATTCTAGCTCGGCACATACAGCCACCCGTGTGTTCCTCGCAGAAAGAAAATTAGGTCTAGACCTACACCATAAGGCAAAGGTGGAAACGTAGGCACACAACCTAGTCTCACAACGCTGTTCTACTAAAACTTACAAGAGCTCTTCAGTGCATTTCCATCAAGTTCCTATCGAAACCCATCCTCTGACCCAATGCCACACCAATTTTTACTGCGACAGGCTACAAAAACCTCTCATCGCCGAAACAAAGAAGCAGGAATTGTCATCAACAATAGACCACTAGAAAGCATACGTACCATGGTTGTTGGTGGAGCCGATCCCGCGCTGGAGAAGCTGCAGCGTGAGCGTTGGGCTGGGAAACAGAGGAAGAGAGAAGTCAGTGGTCCAGCCCCAGAGCTTACGCCACGAGAGCCCCAAACCCTAAAACTGCCCCCCGCCGTCCGATCCCGGGCATGAAGCGGGTATCAATGCGAGTTTTCCGGGAGCCAGAGGTTCGGGGAAGTTCCTGTCTCCTCAATGGAACGTGTTCCCTCCCGTTCCCACGTTCTAGTTGCTTTATCCACACCATCCCCACCTCATACCTTGTCTTTTTTGAGAAGAACGACTTGAAACATGGATTTTTTTTAAAGGTAAAAGGAAGAGTTGCTTCTTGAAGTGGTTGTGTTCTTCAAAGATTTTCGTAAAATAGGATAAATAGAATAGAACACAATAAAGAAAAATAAAAAAGTTGGATACTAAAAGACATGCCATGAGCGAGTTATATGATTCTCCTTCTAAGAACAAATTGAAGTTGCACCCAATCTTGCCGCTTATCAAGAAGCAAAAAAGTTGTGTACTTTCAAAACAAAAAATAACAATGCAATTTTCCCTTCGTTTTTGCTATTTGTACATGTACAAAGGTGCAACTTTTGTAGTAACTATGATGGTGAATGCATTTATTTTTATTATATTTAAAAAATACATAAAAAATAAAAATAAACGTCTCAACCAAAATAAAATATATTTGATTTTAACAATGTTCGTGAAATTTGCCAACATAGAAAAATGTGCATGTCGCTTGTAGCAAGCACCGTGACATCAGTATCAGAAACAAATGATTGTTTAATGTAACATCAATGTTTTATATGTACTTCAAATTTAGATGTGTGTATTAAACCGTCTCAAAAACTTTGATAGTGATAGCATATCTGTGAAGGATTGAAATCCTATTACAAAGGAATTGTACACTAGAAATTTATCTCTTGCCTTTTGTTAAAAATAAATAAAATAAGTAGATTAGATTTAATTTATCCTGAATATTCAGATTATTGTCATTTAATAAAATAAGACTCACACACACACAAAACAAACAGAACAAAGAAAACAAAACAAAACAAAAAAGTATATAATTCCACTTTGTGTCAAGTAGGTACTACACCGCTGAAACTTAAATACAAATATATAAAAATATATATATGCTTACTAAATTGTCAAGTAATGGCCTCATAAAAATTAAAGATTGAACGTGTAATATAATTTTTATCAAATGCTATTGGAACTTTATGACCATCACTCATTTTTGTTTGTATGTTCTTTTTTGACTTCTATTTAGTTACATTCTGGCCTAATTCACATTGAATATGTGATCTCAAAGCCCAGCATGCAGAATAATGAATCTATGCATGGATGTACAATATTGTTCAAAGCACCAAGAAGAACACAAAAATAATTAGTGGGTGAGTATTGATCAAACTAACACAAAAAACAATATTTACTCTTCAGTGCACATGTATAGAACTTCTCAAGTTGACAACAGGATCCGAGATCCTAAACCCTAATTCCAAAATTTTACTGTGCAACTGTTCGATGAGCTCCTGCTTCTTCTGGTGCATAGGAAATTCCGCTTCAATTGGACACGACTATCGGGTAAAGGGCGTCGTTTATGAAGATTGGGAGTCAGTTTAGAGTGCAGTAGAATTGGGCAGAGATCGAAGTACTGCTCGTTGAGTTTTAGGGATGGCCGCGATCCCGCAACTAAACATCGCGAGGTATTACACTATTTCTACTTCCCACCTGCAGGGACGAAGCAGAACCTCCCAATCTCCACCCTGGTTTGTGCCCAGCTTTGAGAAACTGTAGTGTAGATAAAGTGCTAGAGCTTGTGATTGCCTACGGAGGTGATGTCGGAAACGTCTTACCAGCTTGCATCTCCACTTGCCTGCCCGAGCAGGAAAAAGTTGGATAGGGATCTGCGGAAAGCTCCAAAAGTCATTGAACCGGACGAAAGTACTAGAGATCCTCCCAGTTTAAAGATTGTACGGACCAAGAATCTTTTAATCACTGTAATTTTACGAGAGTTGGAGGATTTGGACCATGCGCTTGGCAGAAAAAGGGTGTTGTGGCTTGACCTGTGCACAAAGCGTATTCAGTTGTGTATGAAATTTTGTGTAAAATGCCTCGAAGCCCCAAATGCTGGCTACCCTACCTAGGGTTTTGTAGTCCATGTACATGTTCTGCTTTGTGGGGGGTTTTCTCTAGGGCTCATGAGTTTTCTTTGTCTGTTAGCTGCCTCTCTCTTCGCGGCAGAAGTTGGAAGCGTAATAACTTATGGAGTTACGAAGTAATGAATGACTGGCAAAGCGGACCGACTTTGGACAAGCATCCTCTTCAGGGCCGCAATCCTGCAGATCCTTCTTTCAACTTACCATGCATCTTTTGTCACATATCACTCTTTTCAACCGGATTGGTGTGCGAAGTGGGGTCATTAAGACAAATAACTTCTACCCAATTTGCAACGTTCGTTTGTTGTCAGGCGCAACAATTTATTGTTGACCAAGATGGTCAGATTTGCGACAACAGTGTTCATTGGGGGTCACTGAGAAGCGCAGCAGGTAATAGATATTTTTTGAGTTAATCTTGCATATCTTCTGCCCTTGTTCAAGAGCACTTCTTCTACGCGTAATCGCACATGCTTGTACTTCTTCCTGTATACAAGCAGTTGAAGGCAATTGCAACCCACCGTTGGCATTTGCCCCATCTAAGGAACTTCACGATTTGTTTTCGTCCTCGTCTATCACTGTGATAGAAAGAAACTCCATGTGAGAATGACAGTCAGGAATAATCCCGAGAAGTGCTCACCCCTAGATGATAAGGGTCAACCTCCGCGTCGGGGGTTCTCTATACGTTTGTTTCAGGATTTGTTTTCACACACACAGATTGCAGAGAGAAAAAAGGCGTCACGGGGAATTTTTTTAGCTGCATCCCACCAATCCACTCACAGAATGCGAATGAATCCGCTTCTTAGAGGTGCGACCTCGCATTCCAAACCCATCGCAACGGTCAACACAACTGTCAAGCGTAGAAACTCCTTATTCCGTCGTCTTTCTCGATGAATGTAAACTCGTGCACCAAAATGCAAGGCAACGATTGCTCTCCCTCCAACGCTGCATCCGAAAAATAAAATTGGCGATGGGAGGTGTTGACCAATTCTGTGGCAAGTGCACCCACAAACTGTCCGTCAGCAATGTCAGCTCGCCATTTGTCTCTACCCCGTCCGTACCAATAACCATGCGAGGAATATGCTCGTCGTAGAGCGTCTCGTTTACATCTCACAGTCGATTGAGCACACTGGGTCTTGCAGCCAATTTCACAGAACTAGTCACCACGTTCGAAATCGCCTCAGAGAACTATCCTCGCTTCCCGTCATCGAGGATTCTTTTTTACGAAGGGAGATACTCGTGATGCAATTGAGAATTCCATACTCGTCGAACAATTCGCGTACAGGAGGCAATCTCATCTTGTTCACCAAGCATTCGATTACAACGTCCGGCGAGTTCAGAGCTTATCTGGATTGCATTGGGTGAGTCGTCCGCTTGCGAGCACCAGATCATCAATCCCTTGACCTCGTAAGTTGGGAGTTTCGGACCATGTCTGTTCTGATCGGAACCCTGCTCCATTGCTGCACCATGCGCGCGCAGCTACCACCGACTTGCACTGTCCAACTCATACCTGAGAAGCTTCGAAACCATGAACAAGAGAAGAAGAACAACGCGAGCGAGGAGCTTCGATGTCATGATTTGCAGTCGGAATTGGGAGGAGTGAAGAATGTTTTTCTGTTCTATTCGAGTGCCTGTGTGCGATCTGAACATGATCGGTGAGCTTTGGAGAGAGCTTTCGAAGATTAGTGCTCACAGATTACAGATCAAAACTCGCATCTTTGGTCAGTGTTCAGCCAGTCAAAAGCTGCAACAATGTCGGCGGAGCACCTCATTTTTTACACAGAAATGTTGAAGTCGATGCATTGTTTCACGTATAGAAAAAAGAATCCATTTTAAGGACTTTGAATAGTTACTGCTTTGGACATCTCACAATGTCAAATGATATGAAATAGAGAGAAAGAGAGAGAGATGTCACAAAAATTTACCGGATTTTTCATTCATAATTTCACATAATAAAATACTACTAGCCAATGTCAATAAAAGCATAGAATGAAATTACTATATTTTGCAGTATTTTTTTAATTATTATAATATATTTCTAAGTTTTTGAACATGCATGCAAAATCTTATGAACAAAAAAGCTCGTGCCTTTCTGGCAATATATTGTACATTATGACCAATAACTTCTAAAAATGTTTAAGTTTAATATTTTTATGTTTAAAATACAGTAATCCTTTAATTGAAATATTTTCTTAAATCTACCTTTATATTGTAAAATTAAACCGTTCTACATCTGAATAATTGTGTTAAAAAGTTTAAAATATAATTCAAATGACCACTGCGTTGTAACTTTTAACACTACAAATCATTTCTTTTTGTTAATATATAAAATATATATATATATATATATATATATATGCATGTTCATCAAAATATATTTTGTACTTAATTTAATAATCAATGTTTAAAAAATGATAATATGAATTAAATAGGAAACGAAGAATACAACAAATATTTTGCATTTCAAGACAAAAAATGCAGCCACGTCTTTTTGAAGTAATGTTAAAGATGGGCAACGAGAAATGTATGACTTATATTGGTCAAATGAATCAATGATGTGTTGCCATAACTATCCTGGGATCTAAACTTGGAAATATCTAAAAGTAGACAAAATTGCTTAATAGTGAGTAACACTCTGTAGAAGAGGAGAAGATCATTATTTTATTGCCATTTGAAATATAAACATACTTATATATACATATATACAACCTTGACATTCTAAATTGTTCTTTGATTAGATTTATGTTATAATAACCACCACATCTAGATTTTATGATTAGATAGCTAATCTTTAAAAGGTTATTCTCTGTAAAATGGTCTTTAGATGTAATCTATCATCAAAACATTCAAAAGTTTTACATTTGGAGATTTTATAACCAACTAGATTTAAATTAATATTTATTTTACAACTAATATATATTTAACATTATTTCTAACTTATGAATAGA